AGGCTCTGTTTTGGTTACAATGAGTTGTCCGAGCGTCTGAGCCACCCCTTACCCCCATCCATGTCACTCGTGCATAATCACCGCAATGCACGATAACCCCTGTTATGCACACTTTTTTATGCATAAATATATATATAGGCGCGCTCCAACTTATGCTTTTGCTTATGCACGAAAAGCCCAGCTATGCACAAACATAAGCATGCATAACAGGTCAGGGCCTAGGCACAGGGCCAATAGGCAGTAGTGTGGCCTGCAACACTTGTGCAGATGCGTTGCCAGTGTTATTGTACAATTAAGTTCCTCCGCATTTTATTTTTATGGCGGGGCAGCGCAGACTTGAGCAGAGGGTGGGGCACAGAACCGAACTCAAGACACCCATAGCGTGCTGGTGAACACGGTCACGGACAGCCGGATAGCTCAGCTAGGCCGAGCGTAATCCCNTTCTATCCCCCACTATATCTGACCATCTCAAGTGTGACCTTCCAAAAACACGTAAAGTTGAACTTGACCAGCGCATTGAAACACTCCGCGTCTGTGAGATCATGTTGGTCGCCTCTGCCCCTCTCTTGCGAGGGGCTTCGCGATCAAAGCCCACGCTTGAATACCGGAGCTGATACTTCTGTAGTGGTGAACGAGTAGGCATAGTTCAGAACACCTGTGTGTCAACGTGAACATGCTGCGGCGAGCGTGTCGTGTGTGCGGTGTGTACGCACACATCTGGTCCACACCTGGGGCGGTGGTACGCCGCCGCACGAGTTGCGGCGGCGGTTGCCTTGTACCCATGATGTTACGCGCCCTAGCCGCTGCTGATGGCACGGATGTAAGTAAGTACTTTGTGCAGCGGCGAACCCCCGTGAGCTATGGTACAGCGCGTTTAATTGTTGGAGACATTCCGCTGTTGGTTGCACAAATCCTTTTTGGCATGTTGGGAAAAAGGTGGTTTGTGTCTTACCGCTCGCCCACGGCGATGATAGTGTAGGTCTTGCCCTTGCATGCTCAAGTCTTGTGCGGCGGTTGGCGAAGGTACATATGAGTACTTGGGTTCATAGTAGTAGTACAGCTGTGCACCCAGTAGCAGACGAAAAAAAATACACTGGTATCTACCGTAGGTTACACAAGATACCACACCCCCTGGACCGATTGCCGCAGCTCGATTACTCCACATGTATGTGAGCATGTATGAACAAAACGATACTTCGAGGAAGCTCTCGACGAAACGGGTTGAACGCCGCCGATTTGGACGGTAATATATCATGCACGATAAATATTCGAGCTTGGAAGATTGGTCGAGAACGGCTGGCATAAACTTTGAAACTTTTTCGTAACATGACTACCTCCTCCGATGTTGACGCCCACCTGTGCAGTATCCTAACCTGACCCTAACAATTCACGTTTTGAGTTGTTGTGCAGCCCTCCTGAACGTAATGTTGACGCGTTAGAGTTCGTGGTACGACTTGCGTACTGCTGTTCAATTTGCAGAGTCCATCATGTTGCGTATCCTCTCAAACTCGATAATTTCGTGTCGTCGCCTGGACCTATTTCGTAGACAATTTCGACGACGTTTGGGAGGAAGGTTCAGCGGGCAGCGACGAGGACGACGCGTCGATAGACGGTATAGACGACAGCGGGTTCGAGCTGGAAGGAGAAAAGGACGTCTTGGATTACGACGAGTCATAATTCATGTGCGTAAATGCGCGTGATACTTTTCGATCGCGGTCGTCCTTGGCCGTGCCTGCATTTCATCAAAGGCGACCATGCATGTCATAGACATGCATATTGTAGCAGTACGTGTTGTAGCAGTACGTGGATGGATAATACAATACAACATGAGTGTCATAGCACCATTTTCCTGATCTCTAACCCTACACCAATAACACAACCCCCCACGCCCCCACCCCCCGCCCTCCATTCACGTCTTGCTCTATCATCCGTGTCGCAGCTTACCGATGGTCCTCAACTGTACATACGAGTCTGTTGCTACAATTTTTTTCTGGCAGGATTGTAGACCTGCTGAGTTCCTGTTGTTTAACTGTTCTCCCGTCGCACGAGAGGTGTCTTCTCTTGCTCCGTGACTGGTGTGTTACATGCATACATGAACTTCTTCTGGCGACCGAAGTTTTTCTCTTTTGTGATGTATTATGTCGCTTGGAAATTGTTTTTGTTGGGTCGGTTTTAATTGCCGTACTTTCATTTCTATCAAAGGTGTAGTACACCTTTGGGTACAAGTAGTTGGCTGGTGACAGCGGAGCCGGAACGGTAGTTCAATGTGAAGACAACAACAACAACAACCTGTCGCCCACATTTTGGGGTGACTCTGACGTGTGCGGAAGTACGGATTGCAACATGTGAACTGCGCCGTTACACACCAGCCCAAGACCAACAGTACCATCCAACTGCCGGTCGTCTGCTTCATAAGATATCATTGGGGTCCCAGCGTTACGCCATAGACGGCGGTTCGTCGAAATCCTACACCAGCACGAAAACACACAGAAAAACAAAAGGAAAACGGTGTAACCTCCAATGCACGGGGTCCGCATCTCACAATTCTTACATAAGCGCAACAGACCTTTGCCAGGCAAGGAAAAGCAAATTGCGGGTTTGGTGTGCTCTTTCTGCTCCCGTACTGCCTCCCACACAAACCACGCCTCCGTAGAGCTATACTTCCTCCCGCGGTAAGTAGCGCGCGGGAGCATCACAATCCTGTCAGGAGGGTTATCCTTTAGCCAACGCCCTCTGCTTTTTACAGGTTCGAGAAAAGTTAGTCTCAGCTTGAGTGCCACTCCCACGCGCCCGACCCGCAACGCCTGTTTCAAAATATAAAAAGAGTTTTTGTAAGGCGGGCTTGTCACCACCCAGTCCGGGCGGCGCGTGTCCTCTACGTAAGCCTCGGCAAAAGCATCCGTCGTGGCGGCCAGGTGGGTATCGGCGACCAACCTGTGAGAGGGAGGCCAAAGATATGGAGACACAATTCATGTTTGACGCAAGTATCTCAAGTTGTATTCCCGCCGGGGGAGGGGGGGGGTAGTTTGTTCGAACTTGTGTCCCATTCGGGGGAACGACCGGGGGTTGGAGTTGTGTTAGTTATACAGTATTGTTTGGGATTTGTAAAAGCTTCATCAGTTTCTGGGGATTTTGCGTGCAGGTACTTGCCAGAAGCGCTGTGTTTTGGGACACATCACTTCCCTGTAAAAAAACAAAAAAATCGTGAAACACATCGTTCACCCTGCCAAGAAACAAAACGCTATGAAACACTTCGTTCATGCAGACAATAAATCAACCGTGGTGTGATTTTTTAGACAACGGTAGACCTGCCAGCAGGGTGGGGGGCTCGGAGTCTAGGAAGCCAGCATATACTCCCGCGCGTGGTGGCCTCGAAAGAGGCCGCAAGACACACATATGCTTACGTGGGGCTTAAGTCGTTCGTAGCAACACGAAGACCGCGCGCTGTCAGCACTGTGCTGACTGCGTCCTGTCCGGCACCACAGCAATCGAGCACGCCGCCATTTACATCCACGTGTTCCAGAAGAGCTCGCACCTGAAATTGCATGACATGGACGCATGGGCGCATTATAACATCGGCCAAGTATAGCAAAGAGAAAGAGATGAGCACACCGACTATGAGCCACTTTGTGGGCAGGCAGCAGAGCAGAATTGTCCATTAGACGGACCACATACTACCTGAAGAGAGGCGGGATGTGTAGCGGACGAAAGCAAAGGAAACCTTTCGTTGGAGCGCCTCGGTTTTTAGAAGTGAACAGGTCGTATAAACAGGTCGTAATTTTGTGTATGTCATGCCCTACCCCAACGACAAAATATGCCAAAAAGCGTGTACTCACACGATGGTTTGCCCTTTAGAATGCGATTCAAGTTCCGTACCCGACACCGCACTTTGAAGGAAAGCTCACGTGCATACTGCAGGGAACCCTTCCGTTAACCACTTCATCACATGTTACCTGAAAGCCCGTGGAAGGGTATCGGCACATCGGTGACAGCTGCCCAACCACCATGTTGTCCCTAGACTCGTTTGCTTCCTTCTCTCGGCGCCTCTTGAACTAATTGTACATCCCGCCGACGCAGTCAGGCCGTGTACAGATGCACTCTCTCACCTTGAGAGGGTCTCCACGGAGGTCGCGCTCATGAGGCCACTCTTCCCCTACTATGGCAGACCACTCGCCCAGCTCCGCCCAATATGTTCCCTATCCAACGTGCTTCCACCTGCTCGAGCACCCGTCGCGGCTGCCGGGACGTCCACAGGCGAAGCACAGTCCTAGCCCCCCTCCTGGCGCTTCTTTGCCGTGTACAGATCTCCCACAGGAACCGAGAAAGCCGCGGGTCATCTGGTGCGAACCCCCCCAAAACGATCAATTTGACCGTTTTTTGCTGCTGACCGAATCGACGATTTCGTAGCCGATAGGACGTAATCCCCAGTGAAACAAAGTGCTGGAGAAAGATGAAGTCCTCAGCTATGCAGCCAACACGCTAACAATCGGAACAAGCCCAGCCCCCGTTGTTTTGGGCTGCTTGGGTGCGCTGCACCCCTTCAATCCTGGTGTACCGGCTCTACTGAGAGGCAGCTCTGGTTATGCGCCCACAGAGCAAGATTTCGGACAATTCTTGGACCACCCGCTGCAGTGTGAGTAGGACAACAGTTCACCGCGGTTGAATGCTGTCTGGCATGGACCCGTGGCTTGTTAGGGATGGTCGTGTGTGATGGTGCGGCTTGCTGTGCCCGAGGCTGTAGGGGGGGGGTCCTCTAATCTAAGAATTACTGTCTGCGATGACCCGGCGTAGTTCGTGATGGCCTGCTGTCAAACACGGCATCGTGCTCGACTCGACTGAGCATTCGACTCCCGACGAATACCTATCCAGGTCGTTGCCCTGTGTGGACACCTTCCGTTGGTGCCAGCTATCGCGGGTTTCATGTCCGTCGTGAAAGGAAGAGCCTGACCTCCGTGGCCTGGGAAGAGCTGGCCAAAGAGTTGGAAAACGTGGCCAAGAAAATGCGAGCTCGGGGCCAGCAGTCATCGTCTATCACAGTGGTCCTTGAGACCAGTTTCGACACCTTGGCAGCACGGAAGCAAGAAGAGTTTCTGAAGATGGCTGTGTTGGCCGCGGGTGCTCTTGCGCCGATCGAGATGCTGCGCAATCTTTGGGAGATAGAGGTACGTTGCGGCGTCGCTTTTACGAGGCAGTTGGATGTCTTGAAACGGTCTACAAATCATGGTTTGCAAATCATATGCCTGTTAGATGTACGGGCAAGTTTGGTGGGTTGCGGGACAGAGTGCGTATGCCCTGGTTGTGAACTTCTTCCAACTGTGCTGCGTGTTGACCCCAGTTCATGTGTTTCCGTTCTTTCGTGCATCTGCAGGACGCTGAGGGTACGCGAGACGAAGCTGAGGGTCTGGTGAGGAAATGCCTTCTACACGCTGTGGCTGGTGGTGAGTACCGTGTGCACGTCCTGGTCCTGGAGTTTTCGAAAACTAGCATCAGGGCAGAGGAGGAGACGGTGCAAAGGGCTACAGTGCTGTAGGCGCAGTACCTAGGGAAATTGAACGTTCTCAAGAGTTACGGAGACCCGGAACACGGCGCTGGATGCCAAGGACGTTTCTTCTTGGATGCCCTCTGGCGCTCGGTGTAGAAGCTCTCGGGGGACCCTGAGCTGGAGGTTGTCTCATATCGCGCCAGCCTCGGGGAGTTGGAGTCATGCGAGGAGATGGAAGAGGTGGCGAGTTTCTGCTCACGGGTCGGTCTATTGTTCGATATCCAGGTACGACAGGTGTGGTCTCTTTGCGGATTCCACCTCTATTCCTAGGGTGTTTTTTGTGTAGTGTAGGAGTATGGTGCAACGGCGTTGCATCGAATGCGGTTTTTCTTTTCATTCCGTCTGGTCAAGCTTATTTTTTCTCGCTCGCAATGCTAGGTGGTTCAATGCGTCGGGGAGTCCTTTCGGTTCTCCGTGACGCCACTCCACTCCGTCACACCAGCTGGCAACAGATTGAACGCTTTGGTTTGAAGAAGAGGGGTGAAAGATCTACGAATGTTCTCTAAATATCATGTGGCTGTCGATCTTGCTGAGAAAGCTCTGTTGAGCATTGGTCTACGGATGAACTCCGTCGTCCATTTCATCCTCGCTAATCACTGGCTTTTCGCGCAGGGCAAGTACATGGAGGCCGAACCACTCTATGAGAGGTCACAGGCCATACAAGAGAAGGTCTTGGGTCTGGAGCATCCGGATGTGGCTAGTTCGCTCAACAACCGGGTGGAGTTGTTGAGAGCTCAGGTGACAGCCAACTGATGCTTCTAGATCCTTCTGGAGTATATATATTCATTCCTCCGCAGTTCTAGATCTCAATTTGACTCAATTCCGACTCTCTGCTTCGATGTTCACCACATACCATGGTATGTGTGCCTAGACCGAGCCACTCTTTCGGGGAAGGTTCTGGGCCTGGAGCAGCTGGATGTCGCTCTGGCGCTCCATCACCACGCGGGCGGGTCTGAGAAAGTGTTTATCCGCAGCTGCAAGTCCCACTATGATGGAACTATTAATACCACTCTGCCACGCTGTGTACACCTGCATGCCAGGGCAAGTACACTGAGGTCGAACGACTGTACGAGCGGTCACAGGCCATACGAGAGAAGGTGCTAGGTCCGGAGCATTCGGATGTGGCTAGGTCCCTCAATAACCGGGCGCGGTTGTTGAGTGTTATGGCCAGACTTGGGTGCTCAGGGCCTAGAATTTTCTCTTCGATCGCCTGACACCGCGCATAGAGCGGCTCAGCTTCGGCGTACTTGCCCTGAAGAACGAGGGAATAACACGACAGGGGCAAGTTTGTCAAAACCATGAATGGAGTATAATGCGGAGGAACAAATGCTCAACAACCGCGCCCTGCTGTTGAGCGTTGTGGCCACATCGGGATGCTCTGGACCTAGCCCTTTCTCTCGTATGGCCTGTGACCGCGCGTACAGTGGCTCGGCCTCAGTGTACTTGCCTTGTGGCGTGCCCAGCGTGGCAGAGTTGGATGCAATCCAATCAAATGGGGATCTACGATTAACTGCGGATAAACAATCTTGTAACAAACGCGTGCTGTTCGTAAAGCGCCTGGGCCACACCCGGGTCCTACAGGCCCAACGAGTTCCCTCGTATGGCTCATGACTGTTCATAGAGTGGCTTGGGCAAAAATTCTTGCCGTGATACGTGATGAACAGCGAGGCAGACGATCAGAATTCAGTCAAAATGAGACCTAGAACTGCGGAGGAATATGTTCTTTAAAGATCGTCTAGAAGCATCATTTGGCTCCCACCTGAGCTCTCAACGACTCCGCCGGGGTTGTTGGAGAGCCAGGTGAGAAACTGTTCAACAAGAAAATGTTCCTCCGTAGTTCTAGATCTCACTTGATCGAAATCCGACTTTTTGCCAGAACATATCATGGCAAGTACACTGCGGCTGAGCCACTACTAGCGGTCATAAGCCATACGAGGGTATGTTCTGGGCCTGAAGCACCCGGGTGTCGCCCATGTGTTCTCTCACATGCAGCATAGCCCAACAAGTTATCTCTCTTCCCGTGTCCGTCATACTGCAGGGCAGTTATGAGGAGGCCGAGTCTTTGTACGGGCCCTCGCTGGCTATTAACGAGGGAATTTACGGTCCTGACCACCCACCCGGACGTCGCTACAGTCCTCAATAACTTGGCCGAGTTGTTGAAATTCCAGGTGAGAACCAAACGATACGTAACTCTCGATGCTTCTAGAAGCAAATATCCCCCGCAATTCTAGATGTCAATCTGAGTTAAATTAGTCTGATTGGTGGCAACATACTGAGCCAGAGCCATTCTTTGGGCGGTCACAAGCCATGCAAGAGGAGGTTCTGCGCCTGGAGCACCCAGGTGTGACCCAGGCGCTCAACAACCGGGTGGACGTCGCCAATGATGATGTTTTTCAGCAGTTTGTTGTAGATCACCCTTTAATTAATGAGGACAACAACTCTGCTACGTTGTGTACGACTGTACACTACGGCAAGTACACTGAGGCCGAACCACGGTACGAACGGTGCCGGGCGATATACGAGATGGCCTTGGGTCCGGATCATCCTAATGTGGCCACAACGATCAACAACCGGGCGGGGTTGTTGGAGAGGCAGGTGAGAGCCAAACGATGCCTGTAGAAGAATGTGTTCCCCCGCCATTCCTGATGTCGATTTGACTGGACTCTCTGCCGCGCTGTTCATCACGTACCCATGGCAGTGTACGGAGCTGGAGCTACTCTTTGAACGGTAGTAAACGATACGAGGGAACTTGCTGGGCCTGTAGAACCTGGGTGTAGCCCAGGTGCTCCACAACCGGGCGGGTTTGACTACGAAAATGTATACTCGCCTTGTAGATCTCACGTTGATTGAACCATGAATACAACTGCCACGCTGTGTGCAACTGCATGTCAGGGCAAGTACGCTCGGGCCGAACCTTTGTATAAACGCTCCCTCGCCATTCGCGAAAAATCCCTTGGCCCTAATCACCCTGCGGTGGCGACAACGCTTAACAACCGGGCGGGGTTGTTGGAGAGGCAGGTGGGAGCCAACCGATGCTTCTAGATGCTTTTAGAAGCAAACATTCCTCCGCAATTCTAGGTGTTATTTTGACTGAATTCCGTCTCTGCCAGGCTGTATTTCACGTATCGCAAAGTACGCTAAGCCAGAGCCACTTTTTGATTGTTCATAAATCATACAAATACTTCGTACGAGGGATGGTTCTCGGCCTGGGGCAGCCGGATGTCGCTCAGGCGCTCGACAACCGGGCGGATGTGGTTACGAAAATGTGTATCTGCAGTGGTAGATTCCACTTAGACTGACACGCTGTGTGCGACTGTAAGCCAGGGCAAGTACGCTGAGGCTGAGCCACTGTACGAGCGGTGGCAGGCGATATTCGAGACGGCCTTGGGTCCAGAGCACCCGAATGTGGCAACAGCGCTCAACAACCGGGCGGGGTTGTTGGAGGATCAGGTGAGAGCCAACGAGAAGAACATACCCCTTTGCAATATTAGTGCTCCTTGTGACTGGATTCCGGCTTTCTTGTAACGACATGTGCATATCGCGGCAAGGACGCTGAGACAAGGCCACTTTATGAACGGTCAGACGTCACCGGGCATTTGTTCCCTCGCATATGCAACAGCGTCGCCAAACGAATTTCTCTCCTCCGCTTCCCGTCACATTCCAGGGCAAGTACGAGGAGGCTGAGCCTCTGTACATGCTCTCGCTAGCTATTGACGAGAAGGTTTACGGTCCTGACCACCTGGAAGTCGCTGAAGACCTCAACAACTGCGCGGGGTTGTTGAGTATCGAGGTAAGCGCCAAGCAATACCTTCTAAGATGCTTCTAAAAGAAAATGAAACCCTCCGCAATTCTATATCTCAATTTGACTGAAATCCGTCTCTCTGCTGCACTGTGTGTCGCGTACCAACGTACATGTGCTGAGCCCGAGCCACTCTATTAACGGTCACAAGCCATACGAGAGAAGGTTCTGTGCCTAGAGCACCCGGATGTGGCCCAGGAGCTCAACAGCCGGGTTGGGCATGGTTCAGGAATTGTTTTTCCGCGGTCGTAGATCCCACTTTAATTGTACTCCATATAACTGTGATACATCGCTCTGCCATACTGTGTATGGCTTACACTAGGGCAAGTACACTGAGGCCGAGCCGCTGTACGAGCGGTGCCAGGCGATATTCGAGACGGTCTTGGGTCCGGAGCATCCTGATTTGGCAACAGCCCTCAACAACCGGGCTAGGTTGTTGGAGAGCCAGGTGAGGGCCAACTGATTCGTCTTGATGCTTGTAGAAGAATGTATCCTCTGCAGTGCTATTCAAGATATCAATTTGTCGGAAATCCTACTCTCTGCCGCGCTGTTTTCACATGTCATAGCAAGTGCGCTGAGGCCGAACCATTCTGTGAACAGCCATAAGTCATACGAGGGAATTTGCTGGGCCTGTGAAACCCGGGTGTGGCCCAGGCGCTCAACAAGCGGGTGGGCGTGGAAGGAAAATGTTTGTGTTTATTCGCGACCAGTTATAGACCCCACTTTGTTTGGCTAAACTATGAATACATCTGCCAGGGCAACTACGCTGAGGCCAAGCCGCTCTATGAGCGGTCACAAGCCATACGAAAGAAGGTGCTGGGTCCGGATCACCCAGACGTGGCAACTGTCCTCAACAACCGGGCGGGGTTGTTGAAAATCTTGTTGAGCCTCGAGAACCCCGGTGTGGCCCAGGCGCTTCACAACAGCACGGGTGTTTCATAAATTCTTTATCCGCGACCAGTTGTAGACCCCACAATGATTGCACTATGCGTGCACCTCTGCCACGTTGTGTACGACTGCATGCCAGGGCAAGTTCGCTAAGGCCGAGTCAATGTATGAGCGGTCACAGGCCATTCGAGAGAAGGTGCTAGGTCCGGAGCATCCTGACGTGGCCACAACGCTCAACGACCGGGCGGGCTTGTTGGAAAGCCAGGTGAGAGCCAAACGAGATGCTTAACATGTTTCTCAAATATTGAATCCTCAGTAGTTCTTTATCTCAATGTGCCTGGATTCCGACTCTCTGCCATGACATATCAAGAGAAGTACGCTGAGACGAGGCCACTTTTATGATCGGTCGCAAGCTACACGTGGTTACGTTTCTGGGCATGCAGCACCGCGATGTCGCCCTAACATATGTTATCTCGCGCGTACAACGTCACCAATCTAACATCTCCCTTTCCCTTCGTGTTACATTCCAGGGCAAGTACTTGCCCTTGAATGTAACACGAAGGCAAAGAGGGATTTTCGGTTAGGGACGCTGCATGTGCGAGAAAACAATTGCCTGGTCGGCGTCCGGGCGCTCCAGGCCTAATCGTACCCTTGCATTGCTTGTGAACCGTTCATAGAGTGGCCATGTGTCAGCACACTTTCCACGATTCGTTGTGGCAGAGGCTCGGAATCTAGTCACATTGAGATTGAGAACTGATGAGGATTACAGTATTCTAGAAGCTTCTAGAAGCATCGTTTGGCTCCCACCTGAGCTCTCAACAACTCCGCCCGGTCGTTGGGCGTTGCCGCCACATCAGGATGCTCCGGACCTAGCACCTGCTCTCGTAAGGCTTGTGCCAGCTCATACAGTGGCTCGGCCTCGGTGTACTTGCCCTGGCATGCAGTCGTACACAGCGTGGCAGAGTTGCACGCATAGTGCAATCAATGTGGGATATACATCTGGTCGCGGATAAACAACTTTCTCAAACACACCTTGCGGCCACACCCGGGTCCTACAGGCCCAGAAATGTCTCTCGTAAGGTTTATGACTGTTCATAGAGTGGCTCTGGCTCAGTATACTTGCTATGATACGTGATAAACAGCGCTACAGAGTCGCAATTCACTCAACCTGCCGACTGAAATTTGCGGGGAGATATTTATATTTTCTTCAAGAAGCATCGCTTGGCGCTCACCTGATTCTGCAACAACCCCGCCCAGTTGTTGAGGTCTCTAGCGACTGACGGGTGATCAAGACCGTAAACTTTCTCATCGATAGCCAGCGATCACCTATACAGAGGCTTGGGCCAAGCCTCTGTATAGGTGATCGCTGGCTATCGATGAGAAAGTTTACGGTCTTGATCACCCGTCAGTCGCTAGAGACCTCAACAACTGGGCGGGGTTGTTGTACGCCCAGGTGAGACCGCCCAGAATTTGCAGGAAGGGTTTTTGGGGTGTACAACAGTGGACGCTGTGGTACTCAACATCCGGTTTTTGCTGGACAAGCAGGTAGGAGAGCTAGTTGTTTCGGCGTGAAACTGCTGTTTTGATAGTCACCGAACTTAGTGAGAGAGAGGGTGGCGTGCAGCAGCTGCCAGCATGTACGACCACGCAATCATGGGGCCCTTTTTCGTTTTGAATTTCTCATGCCTGTGTCGATGTTTTGTTTTTCAGGCTGGTTGAACCAACTCTAGCCCACTGGTGGTGTGATGCACTACTACAAGATTGTATCTGGTGTATCCAAGTGAGTTACCCCAAGTTCTGAGATGTGCGGTGTGCTCACGGAAGGAATACTAATATTGTTTTCCCTACAACCTCAACCGTGCACAGGAGAACTACGCGGAGACGATACCACTATTTCAGAGGGCCCTCTCAATCTTTACAAAGCTGCTTGGGGACAACCACCCGAACACGGTCAGCACTCAGAACGGCCTGAAAGTTGTGCGAGCAATATTTCGTGCACGTGCACAGCTGGGAGGTCTTTCGGAAAGGTCATGCACGACGCATGGCGCGGAGGCCTGGCACAATGGAAAAACTCTTCGTTCCGTGATGCTGGCTTGAGGACGAGATTGACGCAGCTGCCTACAACGACAGCGGTCGGTCACTGCAGACGCGATGAACATGGTAGCGGAGAAACTCCGATGTATGGCCGAATTGTGTCAAGTACATGAGGCGCAGTGAGTCTAGCTCACGTCCACGGTGACTGGTGTAGAACAGGTATTGCAATCCTCGTTGGTGGATGTTGGAACTGATGGTCCGTCGATTATTCTTTCTTTTTCGCTTGTCTTCGTCACCAGCGCTTCCTTTGCTTGGTACATGGAGGACGCGTATACCCTTCGTATTAGTTTCCCCGTTTGTAGGGGGCATTGTTTTCCGAGGGCGGTGTGTCACGTGGTCGTGAGGCAACGTGGTGAAAACGCAACCATGCGTTGAAGATCTGAGCAGGTTCCAGGTGTACATTGCGCTAACTCAACCCAAATGCCCTGTAATATAGATTGCCGTGTGCCCACGGCTGCTTCCCCAATTGATTCTTCTGCAAGCGCAGTTTGTGTGCTTGCCGGGTACGATGACGTCACAAGAAATGCACTACTACTATTAGGCGTCACACGAAGAAAGGCACTACTACTACTACATTCCTAGTGAGGAGTAAGCAGAAGACTCCAAAATCCCCTGTCGTGCCGTTTGTATCGTGTAACGAGATGGCGCGTGACGGCGAGGGTGGATAAGAACAAGGTGGTACAGAATATTGTGTTGTTGGTTGGTGTTGTCGTCTTCATGTAATACCGTCTCGTTCTCTCTGCCCAGCAACTTCTTCTGTCCGCTGAACTATAGTTGGGCTAGCACTTGATGAACGGGGTCGATCTCACGCGGTCACATGACCGAAAAAAAGGTGCGTAGGAAAATTAAGGGTCCGCAAGCCAATGGAAGAACCCAAAGGACAGTCGAAGGGAAGGCCACTCCGCTCGGCTGTAGACACTATGGACATGCCGAAATAAGATGAGAATACTGCCGTAAGTATTGCCACGAACCGACCGAGCTTAGAAGGGGGGAAACCGTACTGTACTAAAGTCTTTAACAGTTGCGATTTTTTTGTCGTGACGGCTAAGTCACTTCCGACGAAGGTTTCGCAAGTCAATAGCTTAAGTGCAGGACAGATTCCAGATAGTCTAGGCTACTCCGCCATGTCTGAACGCTATGGACAATACATTCCGAAAGAATATGACAATACTCCCGCAAGCATTACAAGTAACATGAACCAACCGAGCTTGCACGGCATGAAAAAAATCGTCAGACAAAACGGGGAAAAACCACGTGCTGCTACTACTACTACTGCTGTACGCGTACGTACGTGCAGTGGGAAACCGAAAACCTTTCCGCTCGACTGTAGACGCTATGGACATGCAAATCCGAAGCGGAAAGACGATGACACGCTAATAGGAAATCAACGACTACGGACGCAGAGACCGATAAGAGGCGGGTGGAGCGCGAGCAACGGTGCGCTAACTAAACCCGAATGCCTTTATAATGCGGATCTTGAGCGCGTCCGAGAACGCAGATATCGAATCCCGTTTAGCCACTACCATCCTGTGTGAAGAAAATGGCACTAGCAGACTACTGATACGCTCAATAATGGCTGTTGTGGTGCTTGGTAGCGAAGATAGCAAGCGTGGTAAACAGTCTTTCGTCGTTAGTGAACCAGCGTTCGAGTGTTGCAAGACGTCTATCGTGTCCTCTGGACCGTTCTTTTACTTCGACCAGCATGAGCATACATGTGTTATCACCTGCCAAGGGCGTATGAACGCTAACGACGCATTTGAGACAGCTGACGTGCACATGCAGTAGTTAGCAGTAGTACGCAATGCCGGTCCATCTCGTGAAATTCACATACGCGCGGAATCGACATGTATGTATATATGCCTTCCCTCAGCATACACCGCGTCGACGAGGGCTCACTTCGAAGGTTCTCGCTCGTTCCCGTTCTCTACGCAACGTGAAGCAGGTGGAACTTTACTGCAAGCATCTCGACCCGGAAAAAATAAAAAGTAGAAAACTCTACATCAGAAACAAAAAAATCCCCTCGGCCAACCATCTTCCCGTCAATACAACATGCACAGCAGTGGAGCTGCTCAACATGCACCATCGAGGAAGGCCACAACACGGGAGGTTCAGTCCTGCTAACACCACTTCACGAAAGAAAATCTACCGCAAAGCTCTATTTCGTTGCTGTAAACTTCTTCCCTCCTCCCATCCCACCCCCGACCCAGGCCGGGGCCACCCTCTCCGCGGAGGCGGCCTCCTCCTTCTCCTTGAGCCACGCCTCCCTCAGCAGCGCGGCGCGCCGCGCGTACTCCTCTCGGACGCTGCTGCCCTCGAGCTCTCGCCACTCCTGCGCGAGCTTCTTGGTCATCTCCACCGCCGTGAGCCCTTCCCCGCCGACCTCCTCCTTCAGTCCGGGCCTCCGCTCGGAGGAGAAGAGGATGTACGCGTTCTTCGGCTGAGGCACTCTGTTCTTGCCGCTGCCCTTGCGCCCGCCGCTGCTGCTGCCGCTGCTTCTCCCGCTCTCGGCTTTTGCGTTGTCCGCCTTCCACTGCTCAAGCGCCGCCGCCGCCGCCGCGTTGAACCTCCCGCGATCTTCGTCACCCAGCCCCTTCCACCTCGCCGAGAGGGTCTCCGCGTTGAGATTTACCCCGGCCGCTTCCGCCCCCGCCGTCGCCGTCGCCGCCGTGTGCAACTCCCTGCTTTCCTTGCAGAACCTGAAGAATCCCGACAGGGGTCTCTTGTCGCCGCCCCCCAAGTTCTTGTTCTTCACCACCCGCCCTCCTTTCTTCTTCCTCTTCCCCGTACCCCTGGCGGAGGCGGTGGAGGCAGCGGTGCCACCCTTGCTTACCGTCTTGCCCCTTGCCCTTGCCTTCGCCGCGGCCGGGCCGTCCTTGGAGCGCTTCTCCAAGACCAGGGCTATCGCCTCGTCGAGAGAGATCTCCTCCGGCTCCGGGTTGCTCTTCGTCTTCCTGTATTGCGGGGGCAGCTGGGGGGGGGGGGGGGGGGG